AAACTGTACAGTACCGAAATTATGGCTTTATGAATCTGCTTTTATTTTATGTAGCCTAAATGGTGGGTACGGTTATTTCGCCAGTAGTTACATCGCATCCATAAAGAAAGATTAAACTTTTAGGAGGCTGCGTAACAACTTGGGGCCTAATTGCTACCATACTAGGAACCTAACAAAAAAGGAAGTAGTGTTATCGCACTCTTGCACTTGGTACTTTACAAGATAGCATGATTTCTGTGGGAGGGTAAGCAGATTCTGACACTTCTTTTTTTTGTTTTATTTTGTTTAGTGGTCGAAAAGATGGGGGCAACTTTTTGGCTTTTACACATATATATATATATTTTTTTTCCATTTCATTCCTCAGGATTTATTGGGTGACAGCTGACAGGCATTTCCCGCTAGGCTTTTGGAACCGAAAGCCATACGGAGGGAATTTTTAGAAATGCTTGGAACCAGTTTGGACCGGTTTTCCTAGGCCAGAGACGTTAAGAGCTAAAGAATGGGCCAGCTGGACAGATGGCACCGGGAGCACGCCCTGGCACTCGGCTGCAGCTGGCTGGGCCTCCTTCCCAAGACGTTTGTTGAGCCGCTCACACCCGACTCCGACACAAATTACCGGTTGACGCTTTAACGGTCTAGGCCCCTTCCTAAAATATGCTTTCCATTGGTTGGGTTTCGTGTTTAAAATGTAGAACCTTAAACACGAAATACCTACGGTCATTTTCTTTTTTCGTCGATTCCGCGCACCTCGTCGAGGCCGTGGCAGGAGCAGTGCGCATTCTAAGTGACCAAAAGAAAAAAAAACACTGCCACGAAAGTCCAAAAATGTCGGCAACATTCTGCCGCGCTGCGCCGCAAGGAGCTAGCCTTTTACCGAAGAAAGTTTGGAAGGAATCGCGAGCATAAATGCACCTTGCTTCGAAGGGTTTCGTAAGGTCGGTCGCTGTGGTGGGAGACTGAGCGGCGGATTTTACGGGGTGTCGGCCAACGGGGAGAAGCATTCCAGTGTCAAGGACATACGTCTCAAATGTTGACTGCATGGGGTTATTCGAGCGATTTGTTTGTTGTTGTTGGTGTGTCAGCCTTTCCTCCGTATATCTTTCCCGGTGTTGACAGTCCCTTCCAGGAAATATGCGCGGGAATCCTTATGTTTCCTTCTCTGGATTTCCAGCTGAAAATTTACTGATTGTTGTGTCTGGATGCAAAAGGTTTTTTGGGTCAAAGTGAGCTGTAGTGTCACTTCCATGGCATCTTACTTTTGTCCTAGACTAATTTGCTGCGTATCATATGCACAGCCTTGTGGCCAGGTAGGACTCGCGGCTGTTCTGATTAACGAGCCTTGTGCCTTTGTCCGCACACGATTCAGACTCCTTAGCTGATAGAGTAGCTCCAGCTGTGATTTTCACCAACGCAATGAAGTGCACAAAAGGTCATCCTCTCCCCCTTTGTTTTTCCTTTCGTCAATTTCATGCACGCGAGACAGCGACTTGTCTTGTTCCATTGGAAGGAAAAAAGATTATAAAAAGCATAATCATTATAAACTCACAAATAGTTCTTATGCAAAAAAAAAAAGACTGTGCATGTAATTTGCGCAATGTAATTCCATAGACATTGGTGATTCTAAATTATTTTGTGAATCATTGACCTCAATTTTTTTCTCAAATAATTAATTTCTTGGTAATATTAAGTTAGACTCGCTTTTCTCACTTTTTCTTTTTTTACCCTCTTGTGTGCATGTAACGAGATAACAGCAATCATGTCCTGGATGTTTGCCGTTCATCGGTCTTCCTTAAAGGGGGGGGGGGGGGGGGGAGCAACGATTTCTGGTCTTCAGTAAAAAATTTGTGGAAGTTGCCCGCTGACACTTCTTAAGTAAAGAACAGAAAACAGGTTTTGCCTGCGTGTCCGAGTTGTTGCGGAAAAAAAAGGATAAATATTGGCATTTCTGGCACCCCTCAACTCACTCCCAGTCTCCAGGGTCACACCTGGTGGCACTCGTGGTGACGTAATTTGGGGTGCCGTGTAGTTTCCCCGTGTGCTGTCTCGGAGGATGCTTCCTCTCTCTCCTGACCTTAGCGGGCGTTATGCTGCAGCTTAGAGCCGAGCAAGGTCACGTAAGCTTCTCGCTGTAGTTCCTTCGGCTGCCACTCACGGCTGCAGGGGGGGAAAAAGCCTGACCTTTGCTTTGCAATTATGCAGCAAAATCGCAATATAATCAAGATGTTTTCTCTATCCTCAGGGACACGATAAACAACGTAAAAACGGCGAGATGCAAATTCTTTTTAATCTTAAAATCTTTGTGCCCCCCTTTTAATGCAGCACTGCATATCTATGTATATTTTGTGCTTTGTTCTGTTTTGGTGATCTTCAAGTGTGTGCTTTGTTCTGACTCAGTGTTATGCTTCCCCCCTTATGTAATGCCCTTCAGGGCCCTCCAAAGTTAAAGGGATTGTCCGGTCAAAACCGGAAGTACTTAAGTTTTCGCGCGCGTTACGTCGGGGGAGCCTTCATGTAGACAAACATTTTTATTTTGATATATGATCTCCCGTTATTAACTAAACATTTCATGAGCGTATGTACGAAACTGCACCCCGAATTTCGCCAGTGTCAATGGCTGACATGCGTAGCTGCTGCGTGACGTCACAAAACGCAAAGGTTTGTCGGATGGTCGGGTTAACAAGCGTTGGTCGATGAATGTCTTGTATTTTGTTTCGAATTATATAGTCTCCTAGGTCAGTGGTTCTCAAATGGCGGTCCGCGAAGGCCTTCTAGGGGTCCGCGAAGCTCTGCCTTATCAGTCAAACCCGGCAATTTTTTTTTTTTTTTTTTTTTTTTTCAGGTTGAAAAGAAATGCTTGTTTTCGGGCGAGTTTTTTCGTGTGAACGTCAATAAGAGAGGACTTTACACTATAGCCCCTAGTTATATCCCTTTATTAAATTATTATTATATTTAACCTATACCTTTCCTTTCCTCTCACCACGAACGGCATCCTCCATTATCTCCGCCGATTAAGAAGGGGTCCGCGAAACATCGATGGTTGATAACCATTGTCCTAGGCTGTACCCTACTGAAATACGGTTGTTTATTTTGCAGTTCCCAAGCGTGTGCCAAAAAAGTCACGCCTTTTAGCAGGACATTACTCGAAAACAGCCATAAGCTTCGAGCAAACGTATGCCGTTTCGCGCAAACACAACTGCGACGGCCACCGATCGAATTAGGAGCGCTTGCAAAGCAAAGGATGCAGATTTCGCCTCTGAAGCGGCAACTGTAGGTACACGAAGCGGTATGTGGGTGCACATATCGGCGGATCCACTGGATCGGTGATGAGGCTGCGGGTCTTTCCCTCAGAGGCAATGACCGCGGGTCGAAGACAACCGGCGAATCGTTCAAATGCATGCCGTCACTTGACTTGGACGAGCTTGGTGAATCGTAGCCACGCTCTATTAGCACATGCGTGTCAAACAGAATGTGGCTGCACGCGTGCTAAATACAACTTCTCGACAACTTCTGGTATCGTTTCCAGATGGTCTAGCTGTTGGTTTCGGTTTCGCTGCATAGACAAATTGATTGATCCGATTTGGGCGAGGAGTGGATAGACGTAGTTTAATATCGTTGGCACAGCATCACACATCAGCTTACAAGCCTTCTGTCCGCTTAGAGCTCAGCTCGTAGCTCTCTTCTGTGAGATGATTGCTGCATAAGCGGGATCTCGATCTTGTCGGGAACCCATGTCCCTACGCACGGCGACGATCCATTCTGCTCGTCACTGCACGTCTCGCGGAAAAGTGTGGAACGTCATGTTGGCTCGCATTTGCTGCCTGGTGGTTGTGGCACCGAACCGCGCAACAAAAATCTCACCCAACCACGAAACAAGTCGAGCAGAACAACAAGAACGAAGCACGCTGAGGCGTTCACTCGCGGGTAAACGACGCGACAGAAATTCTCGCTTTGTGTTTTGTGACGTCAGAGCTCCCATGTTGCCACCGAAAACAGCGTTTACGCTAGAGTGCGATTGGAGCAGTATAAATTCAATTACTCATGCAGACGGGCATATAAAATTCAGATATTACGCGCCCGATGCGTCTCGAGGCAAGAACAAAGATATTCAGTTGTTTTCTCAAATACAAAATTTGACCGGACAATCCCTTTAATAAATAAAATAAATCTTTTCTGGGGTTCGACGAGGAATGGGAAATTTGTCTGTTTAAATATACTACAAAGAGTAATTTGGATGAGAAATGTTTTCCTAAAGGTCACCTACTAGGTTTCTCGCTGCAAAACACTCCTTTAGCCTTTTCTTTCAATATTCCTCTAGAAATGTTTTCTAAAGTAATAGAGGCTCCCTCGTTTTTTTTTCTCTCGCAAAATTTGTTTTGTGTTTTAGAATTTAGTTATATTTATTCATAAATATGATGCAAGAGCTGAAAGCAGGGTTTCACTGTACTCGCTCGAAGACTGTAGACACGAAATTTCATTGCCCTACATGCTGGGTCACCCTGTTTGACGAGGGTCGGGAGCAAATTTGCCGCAGCCAAGGAAAGCATGCGCAACAAATGGCAGCGTTGTCGCCCCGTGCATAGCTATGTCCACCAAGTCGGCTCCTGCATTTTATGTTTAAAAAAAACTAGCAACAATTTGTTGGAGGTGGAAGTTCTACCCTGTTGCAGGTGAAAAAGAGCGGGACAAGCTCCCTCTGAAAAGCCCTCCACCCTTTCCAGTTTGGCGAGTGAACGCTGGTCTCCCCTCCAGCGTTTGTTCTGCCAAAGTGGGAAGGGTAGAGGGGTTCTTTGGAGGAGCCTGCTTTTCTAGACCTGCAACAGGGTATAGCAGCAATTTGTTGGATGTGGAGGTAACTTCCGATAACGGAGGCGTTGAAATTTGCTGCATCTGCGTGCCTTAGAGACTGCTTTCCTGGGGAGTTTGGACGATTTCCGGACCGGGTCGAGGGGAGACCTGCAGGACATGAGGGATAACTGTGGTTAACACTCTCTTGCCTGCAGGCGCTTGTATGGTGCTCTAAGATGACCATGACGGCGCGGCTCAAGCAAGTCGTGAGCAAGAACAAGAAGAGGTACCAGGATGAAGACTTTGATCTGGACTTGTCATGTATCCTTTTGACCTCGATTTCCCTCCGGCGACACCAGAGCCGGAAAGCGGTTCACCTTGATCTTGGCAGACGCCCGTCCCACCGTGGCTTGCTTTTCGGCGAAACCTGGCCATGGCCAGGTGTGCGCACATTACCCAAATGAAGTAACTAAATACCGTTACTCACTCAAAAGGTTACTAAGTATGTTACTGCGATTCAAAAGGGGTGTGTTACCGCAGTTTGAAATTTGCGTGTTAATTAATGTGTTTTTATGAAGCAGTAGCCACTCGCAATACTTTTCGTCGTTAACAGTTTCGGATTTGAACGCGTTCGTTAAGGAATAACTGTGGTTAATACTGACACACATTGTACACATCTTCTTGTGGTCTACCTTTTTCATTCAAATTAGAGGTGAGAGTTGAGTGCTTGTGTTGTACACGTTCCCCTCCAGAAGTAAATGCCGTCTTACTTGGTCGAAAGGTAACGTGTCATTACTTGGTTAGAAAAGAAAAGGAACTAAGTACAAGCTTGTAGCGTGTTACAAGTCTGGCTATGGAGCCCCAGTTGCTGTGACGGCCGTTTCCTTTCCACGATCTGACGGCGAGCATTGTGTGGCAGCTCCTGTGGGGCACCTTTGTGCCGTTAGGGGGCGCTCGGACTGTGTAAATTGTAAGGTTCCTATGTATTGAAAGGTAGTGCAAATTATTGTCTAAAATGGGGAAGAGAAATTCCTCCTTGCCCATGCCCTTTCCCCCAGAAAAATTATGTTTCCCCTCGCTTCAATTGGTGACCGTTACCTTCCTATAGTTCCGCACGATTTGGTGGTCTACTCTGAACCGGCGCCATTTTCATGTGCGGTATGGCGGTGGCTCAGTTGCTTAAAACACAGCTGTAATTTTTTTTTTTTTTGTACCACATTAGTGTGGGTTTTTTTGCTCAGTCACCTTGCGCCGTCCGGGTTGCCAGGTCTGGATGGGGTGACAGATTTCGTTGTGGGAAGCTGGGCGGGTCTTGCCAGAGACAAAGTTGCTTCCCTTGGCCGTCGACGACTAGTTCAGTTGAACTTGGAAATTACTTTTCAATAAACAATTTAATGCTTTTCTAGCGAACGAAAATACAGAGAGAAACAGTACTGAAAAATGATAGCCTTCCCTGCACGGGGTTGGGAAGGAGGTGCTCGGATACTAGCTTATCCAAGCTCGGGAGTTGACTGGCTCGTGGGATTACGTCCCGATTACGGGGACAGAAGTTCCTCGGAATCCCACAACCTGACTCGATTACGGAGTGACAGCTCTCGAGCCCCAGCACGAACTAAACTCACTGGCTGAGTTTCCCACCAAAGTCACTCATTGGTCCGTCCCCTTCTAGAGGACCGGCGAATCCTCGATGCGTCTTGAGACAGGCGTTTCCCACTGGCCAAAAAGCCACAACCAATCGTCTCACTTTCTCGCCATGGGGCAACTGCTCATATTCCCGCGTGAGAACCCGCAGTCTGCGTACATCTCGGGGTCAAAGGTCGGGTTCGGATGCAAGCAAGGCCACTTCTCGCAAGGCGAAGCAGACAGCCGACCCCGGTGTGGATAGCGCCGAATAAGTGAGCCATCCCTTCATTCATTCTGCCAGGCGCGGTCTGATGTTTGCGGTTCTGCCGTGACCCCCCACACGCGGGCGAGAAAGACTACATTGATGTAAACGCGTTGTGTAAACGGTGCCGGCCAGAGCCACCGCATCCTTCCGGCCCAAAACAAACGCTCCTATTCTCTCGGCAGAAAAGGCGCGTTCCGAACCTGGCGTCGTAAAGTACGCCTGTCTCTCAAGTTCGTACGCCCGTCTCTCAAAGTCGACCACCATGGTAAGTGTTTACGCCAACGCTTTCCATACCAGCCAAGTCTTCCTGGTGCTAACGGCCCACCCGCGGAGCCCTCGTTGATCTTCACAACGTTTTTTGCGGCAACAGAATGCCACCTTGCTGCGCTGTGCATTTTACGAACCGCGTTGCGGAAGGAGTTGAGCTTTTACTCTACCGACTGAAAAAGAAAATATTCAGCGACGAGGATAGTGGCTCCACCGGATCGGTCGCGATAGTTTCAAATGCCTCCGAGGGAGGTGATTGTATTCGATGGGTAGTTATTTGCACGAGCGTGAAAATAGCAGACGTCGCATGTTCGTCCGTGCACATGTGCACAGTTGAACGTAGCAGTCAATGTTTATAAAATGTGTACAAAGTAAACCAAGCTGCTGGTTTGGCAATGCGATCGGTAATGCTAAAAATTACTGAAAAGTTGTGGGTTTGCACGCGTTGTGCTGTCTTTTATTTGCCTAACTCGAGTAATGCCAAGGCTACAAATGCACTTCGTTCAAGAAAGTAGAAAGTTTTAGACGAGCTTACGCTAAGGGTCCGGAATCCTTTGCGTTGGCACGAGCCTATCCTTAGCGACGGCACGGGCTTCTGCTAGCAATGCAGTCCTTGCTTACGATCCACTAAGCCGTCTTATTTGCACGCAGAAAGGTGCATTCCATCGTGTGCCTGCTCGCGGCACTTGCTGCAATTAACGGGCAAATAGAATATATTTTTGCAGTGCATGTCGACGTCCCGAAATACTCGGTAATACATTGGCCTTTTTTTTAATGGTCTGGGTCCAGCGGGGTTGGAGAAAGCTTGTCTTCACACCCGAGCGGCTCCGACTCTGCTCGCGTTATTCGATTTGCCAATCGAGACATCTTCTCGTGCTTTATAACTCCAATGAAGGTGCACAAACGCTAGTTTCTTCATGATAAAAAACAGAACTGTCTTTGTATAAAAAAACAAAATAATTCTCTAGTTCACTGCATGCAATAGGAAACGAGTACGGCCCGGTACGCATAGGCGCGCGCCCTGTGGGACTTGCACGAAAATGGCGGCGGGGGCGTAGTGCGGAAGGAGGGCGAGGAGGATCGCCCTTGACGGAAAGGGGGAAATGCGGGGACAGGGGAAATTGTGCCGCCTTTCAACACATAGGGACCTTAGTAGTTTGCTCGGCAGCGAGTTTGGCGTGTTTCCTCAACGGCTGCCGTGCTCAGACATCAGGGACAACATTATCGCGATGGGCTTTCCGGCGGAGAAGTTGGAAGGCGTCTTCCGGAACCACGTGGACGACGTTCACAAGTACGGTTGTCGTTTCAGCGGGGCCTTTTCGTCCCTTTTGCTCGCAGTCGTGTTTGTGGGGAAGTCGTCTCTCATTAGTCGGTTTCTCTGTGTCTCCCCCTTTTTCAGGTTCCTGGAGAAGAAGCATGGGGGGCACTACAAAATCTACAACTTGTGAGTCTGCTTTCTCTTTCGCACCCCCAAAGAATAGTGCTTCTCTCGTTTAGCCCAGGACGCTACTGTCGCATCGAAACATCCATTTAATGCGTCGCTGCAGGTCGTACAAGAACAAACAACCAAACCGAAGCCAGAGGTCAAGCACGGAGTAGTTCGTTTGAAAGTACAAATAACTCGAAGAGTTTCCAGTCCCTGCTTCGTGAATCGCCTACAACTCGCGAAAAAATATGTCCCGCAAAAAAATTCCGGTAGAATGCGAATCTATTGGAATATATATTGAGATCCCGCCGCTATGCTCTCAAAGTATCAATGCGCTTTTGCCGTCTTGGTTGTCATAAAAAATTTAATTTTGGCTTCTTTTATTTTGAATAATGAGGACGGGCATCTGGCAGCCTACGACGAGTTGTTCCAAGTTCTGCGGTCATTGCGCGTGACTCAGGCAGAGGGTCGGGTTCTGAATCGGTGGTTTGCGTCTGGAAAATTTGGTGAGTCTCTGTGCGTTGTGTTTCTGTTAAAGTAGTGACACGCATAAACGCCTCCTGGGAGGCCCTTCGTGGAAGGGGGGGGGGGGGGTTGTCAAAAAAATGATCTGCACGACTTTAGATACCGCTTACGTCGAGTATTGATAATGCCCTCTCATAGTGATCCCGCCTTTTTTGGCGGGTTAACGCTTCGAGCCGAGCTTTACAATCTTTCCGAGTGCTAAGGTTTGCCGAAGTCTTCTCTCTAAGAGAAACGTGCCATAGTCACCGACGAGACCGGAAGCGGCCTCTTCCGGATGCTTCCCGCTCGCTGTCCCCTGTCGTGCTTTGGCTGAAGCTCCCGAAGACGCCCGAATGGATGGGAAGGCGGAAAGACTTCCCTGCCGTTCTCTCCCGTTCCCATTCTTTTAAATGTGCCGGCAGCAGCCTCGCCAGCCGTCTGAAGCCCGTGCTCGTTTCTGCCCCTCGGCAACAAAGACGCCCCGGGGCCGATTAGATTTGCTCAGTATCGCAAACATTTGTACTGAAAGTTAGCTTGGGTGGATGTAGGCCCTTCTCGAGTCCGGTCGAGCGGAAAAACTTTGCGACTGTCGAGGAGGACTTTAAGGATTCGAAAAGGGTCGAAGAACCGACATAGACGCCGAGATGCGCCCGCGTACGGAGGACTCAATAGGCTATAAACTGGAAGACGCTGCAGACTATGAGGAGAGCGAATGGAAATGGGAGGTTGCAAGGGCCCCTTTGTCGGCCGCAGGTGCTCGGAGCGGCAGTACGATGCCAAGAAGTTCGAGAACCGGGTGGCCGTGTACCCGTTCAAGGACCACAACCCGCCCAAGATCGACCTCATCAAGCCCTTCTGCGAGGACGTGGAGCGCTGGCTCTCGGAGCACCCGGACAACGTGGCCGTCATCCACTGCAAGGCCGGCAAGGTCTGTACCTCGGGCTTGTCCGCTATGCAACCCCAACCAGCGGGCTGAAACATTTGCGCCCGACGACGCGACCAAAGCGTCGCGCCATCCTGGCAGTGTCGCGGCGGTGGCCGTGGCAGATGCCCCCGCGCTCCCTGGCTCGACAGGTGGCGGAAGCTCCGGGAGTTGCGACGATGGCGCTTTGCGACGATTGCACTCTCCCGTTTTTTGCCCAGACTTGTAGCACCCACCGCTGGCGACAGTGGACGGCGCGATGCTTGCGTCGTTCGTTAGCATTTGGGGGCCACTTTCGGTGTGGATGCTTGGAGTGGTGGCACCGTAACTGGGTTGTCACCACCAGGGATGTCGGAATGAAGTGCAATGTCTTTGCAGGGGAGGACGGGCGTGATGGTGTGCTCCTACCTGGTGCACAGCAAGATCTTCAGCACGGCAAAAGACGCACTGTCCTTCTACAGCGAGAAAAGGACAAAGGATCTCAAGGTGGGTCAGGGCTGCTCGTACTCCTCGCTCGCTGCGAGCTTGGCGGTTATGGCCGACGACATCTCTCTCGGCAGTCGCCGGCGAGTTGTGGAAGACATGTTTTGGTCTGCCGTGTTTGCTCGAGCGTGCGTGTAGCAGCGGTTGATTCGTTGCATCCAATCGTTACTATAGAGGAGACCCGGGCGACCTTTGGACTTGATAAGAGCCTTTGACGGGGGTTTGAGAACGACGTCAATGCGCTCGTAATCGTGTTCTTGGAACCCGATGTGTCCCACTCCTCGTTGGTCTCCTTAAGTCGCGACGAGCCCAGGATGAGCAAGTCGTTGCGGCGGAGCTGGGTAGACTGGCACGGATATTCGTGGTTGCATTAGGCACAAGCTAATGGGTTAATTTGTTCATCCGCTCTTCCAGAAACTTTCTTATGCCTCAAATGTTTTCTTCGATGAAAGTGGACACGAATGGAGGGCTTTTGCAGTGCCACATTGTAATTACTGCTGCCCATAGCCAACCGTACAAACTTGTTGCACAGTTGGCGGGAATGCGGGAAAGTTGTGAGCGGAGGTGTGCGTGCAATGGTCGGTGAAGCACTAGGACTCATTGGCACGCCGCGGACGCTGAGATCGTAGACCTTGTGTGTGGCCAAGGCGGAGACGTCGGGAGGGAGAACCTTGCCCAACGTACCCCCGACCACAGACGTGAAACATCCACTGCCCACTTAGCAACGGTGTAGAGTGTGGCGGCTACGGTTTTGCCCCAGGTGACTGGATGCCTGGCAACGGCAAGCTTGACCGTGCCACCGTGCTCTCTGCATGCAGTTGCACTTTGGGCCACTTTGAGCTAGTACGCATTGAAAAGTGAAAAAGATGCATGATGACCGACAGGTATGCGATGAGTGACCACGACTTAAGCGGGCGTCGCTTGCATTACCTTTAATGACAGCTAGGTCAGCAACTCGACTCAACTACTTGTAAAGTGAAACGGAAGCTTTTGCGAGTTACTGAGGTTGTACCGAATTAACTTTTATTAGGGGTGTGCGAATACTCAAATATAGGAATTCGAATCAAATAGCAAGTTCCCGAATAATTTGATTTGTGAATTGAATTCCTAGTATTTGGTCACTCGAATATTCGATATATTCGGCCAAAGACGCGCGGTAGGCGCGGAGCTTACAAAAGAGCCGTTTTTTTCTCCCGATGTCAGCGCAGTGATGTTAGACACATCATGCGAGAAACACCTCTTGGCCCTACTACGCCACAAAAATCCAACTAACAGGTTAGGAAAAAGAAAAATAACGAACGCCGCAAACTTTATAGCAGATTTAATCCCGATCGTGACAGAATCTAACCTTGCATCGCAACTGAGACATCCCGTTTGCGCCGCTTCCAGAGAGGAATTGTTGGGAGGCTGGAATTCCACGCCATGCCTAATGCTTTTCACGAGTAAAGCCCCTCATTTCAAATTGAAGCGTCGATGTAGAACACACTTGCCACACTCGCAGACGTCGGCGACTGCAAGATCACAAAAAAATTGCGGTGGCTTAGCTCTGCTATGCCAGGATATACGTAGCGTGAACTTATGCGCACAATATGAGAGGCGCTATCAAGTGGCTTCGGTGCAGCGTCAGACTTGGCTACTGCGCAACGGAGGCGGACAGCTTGGCACGCGGCGGCGCCAGTGCGTCTGCCGCGGCTATGACGTCACTCCTCTGGAATGTGCAGACCGGCGAGGTGCGCACAGTGGCGGCGGAGCGCGCGGCGGGGGCAACTTCGGTGCGCCAGCTGTGCGCCGTGTGACGTCACTGCTCCTCGCGCATGTGCAGACCGGCGAGGCGCGGTGGCGGCGTCTCTGGTGCGCCAGCTGTGCGCTGTGTAACGTCACTGCTCCTCGCGCTTGCGTAGCACAGAGCACGGCACATTATGCGAGCCACACAAAACTGCTTAACCTCGGCCAGTGTAGCTCGCGCTACAAAAGGAAACCACGTTCACCACGCTGACGAAACCAGCCGAGTTGTCGTTGTTTTGGAACCGCAAGCCGCAAGTTCGGATTCGGAATGAAATGAAAAAAAATAGTGTGCTTAGATATGAGAGTTTCCAACTGTTCGATAGCCGCATTTCAAATGCGAACTGTGAGAAGGTGATAAAAAGACGAAAGCGTCGATCGGGCAGGTGTAGGCAGGCGCCGTCGCTCTTCCGTTTGCTCGCCTTCTTCCCACGCGGCAACACAACAGATGCACACTTACGACCAATCTGCGCAAGAGCTGTCTCCATTGCTTCCGTTTCGCATTTTTCTTTTAAATCTAGGCTTTCTAAAACTGGATAGATGGACAGAGGATTGAATGCATAGTGGCTGTTGGACGGTGATTTGCGCCACCTAACCGCATGTTTTTTTCTTACTTCAGATTGTATTGTTTAAGCCTGTTTACTCAGATTTAACAGCTATCTGTTTATTTATATAAAAAAAGAATCCCGGGTGCCCTTTTTCGCCCTTAAATTTGAGACCAATAATTGTAAAATGCCCCTTTTCTGAGATGTACAGATATAAAAAAAAAAGTACATGTTGCAGTGTTAGGTCGTGCATTTTCTGAGAGAAAAAGGCACGTGTGGCTGTAACTTTGGCTTTTTGTGACGCTTAGGGTAGATAGATTATGTTTGCGCCACAAAATTAGATCTTTCGTGCCCCACGTCCATCAGCAGCTGCTTTTCTTTTCCTTCTATACATTTGAGCTCTTGTTCCGTACGAGGTGGATATTCTGCACCAGGCGCATACTCTGCACATGTACCGGGTTGTCTAGCAACCGGGAAAACTGTGAATTGTCAGGGAAATTTTAATTACCAGTAAAATTGAGGGTATTGTCAGGGAGATTGTCAAAAAGCCAGCCTAGTCAGGAAAAATGAGCTGGAAATACCATTGAGTGCCTTGAGCAAAGACTTGAGGACTTGGGGCCACACAAATAAGCAATAATCTATCCTTAGAGCAGAGTGGGGCTCTGCCCACATAATGTAGAGTGTGCTATCACGATGCAAAGGGAGCAGCCGACAAATCCAGTCCAAGCCTTGCCTTTCCTTGGATTGAGGGCGTGACACTAAGGTAGATCCAGTTAGAGCTACTAGATTGGTAGTAACAAATGGGAAAGCCACAGACCCCAATCCAAGCCTTAAGCCAAACGTATCCGAAAGTGTGCATCTGGTGGCCATGCTTCCATTTGGTTATTGACGTGTGTGGTTGAGCGTCATGTTTTTATTGTGTTTCCGGAAGTGGGCCTCTTCACTGACGATGTTGGCGGCGAGAAAGTGCTCGTTTAATCCAGAATGGGCGAACTTGAATATTTTGGAATGTGCTAGTTGGATTAAGCCCGTGCAAAATGATGCTCACAGTGCTCAATGCTCAATGCCTTGCGTTGTAATGCTCTTATATATTTAACCGCCTCTAGAGTGGTCGGGGAATTTCACTGGAAATTGTCAGGGAAAACATGGAAAAGTCGGGGAATTTAAATATAGTAATTTGCTAGACACCCTGATATAATATTCTCATTCGTAACACACTTTGAAAAATTCCTAAAAATAAAATCGCTATTCAATATTCTATTTAATATTTGCTTTTTTTTTCTTAATTTGATTCGGTATTCAATTAAATAAGTACTATTCGGTATTTGCTCAGCCCTAATTTTTATTAACGCAAAATGCATTTTAGGGCTGGTTTGCGAGTCTAAAACATGGCGATAAGCTGTTCCAGAAACACGATAACACTGCCAAGTCTTGTCGGTGCTCGCCAGGTCCGCTTACAAAAACACTTTGTGCCTCACCAGGATCCAAACTCCGGACCTGATGCTCTACCCCCAGCTTAGCGGTTTTGATGGCCAATCCCTACTTTAGGGGGCTGGGTGGTGCTCTTAGAGCCAGGAACACACAAAGCCTCCAAAAGTCGAGCGTATGCTGGGCTTCTTTGTGCCTTCATTTTATATTCACACTTTTTTTTTGCTTCTTTATGGGTGAGTATCGATGCCCTTGAGCATTTGATCGCGATAATAAAATGCTGGAACGCGGGATATGTACTTTTGATCCACCAGAATCTCGAAATACTTGAACTTGAGACAGCTTACCAGAATAATTCTTGGGTCTGCTAGAGCTGTTTACTGTGCAACAAACAAACTCTCTCGGGATAAAACTAAAAAAAATTGGGCGCTTTGGGCACTGTTTGGATTAATGCTCGAAACATTTGGAGAGCCTGTTAGACGTTCACTTGGGAGACTAGCTGTTTGCTTTCGGCGGCTTCGTGCCCGCATGCTGAGTGTGCAATGGGCCCCCAGCGGAGACGAGCAGTTGGGATGAATGTCACGACAGCTGCTATGTACCCATGTGGCTGCAAACATTCAACTCGCCTCCATACTTTGCATAAGGCTGACCAACGCAAAACTTGCGTTGTGTCCCTGAGGGATTAGCCCAAAAGCCAAGATCAAACGGGTCAGCACGGGTGCATTCTGTGGCGCTTTTTGGGACGTCGTGTCTTTCACTGTTGTGCTGTGGGCAGCAAAGGCAGCCCATAAGCGCATTGTGCGCTAAAGAGGACCGAGGCGGGGCATCTCCTTGACGTGCCACCCCGTAACCCAGAACGTCAAAGGACTCGGTACAAATGCCACATTTTTGCAGAGAGGAATTTCTTTCAAAAGCAGTGCCCCAGGAAGGAAGTTACCTTTCTTGACGGCATACCCTCCTCTCTGCGTTTCTTGCACTATTTCCCAATACACTAGGCTTTCATTCATTTCAGACTTTAGCAGGCTGTAGATTCTTGTTTGAATTACCAAAAACTACTCTAAATATGATACATAAGTGCAAACATGATAATCTTAATATGTTCAACGAGTGCAGGTTTGAGTCATTGGGGATTGGAAGATATATAGCGTGCCTAAAGTTTCTGTTTTAGATTTTTCATGCTGAGCTATAAGTAGATGTTGATGTTTGTCTTAAACCTGTTACCAACATGTCAACTCATTTAAATCATTCTAAAGCATTACAATCATATTTTCCCAGAATTGATGTGTTTAAATACTCTTTTTTTTTTGTTAAAACGATAACTGACTGGAACAAACGTTCGGAACAGATTGTTAGCTTTATTAACCCATCCACTACCGCGCGGCTCGCGCGCTGCCAGGCCCTCCGTATTGGATTTTTTTTTTACCTAAAACAGGGCCACACTAGATGTGACTGTTAGGCCCTCACTGATTCTTCCTGTTCGAAAAAAAGATCTCGAAGAACTCCATGCTCAGTCGCTTAGGCGTCGCACAACCAGTGCTATGTTGTCGTGATTCGGACTCAGAACTGCTGCTGGAATCGCTCCCGTCGTCGACAGAAGGTTCAGAAAATTCACTATCCTCACCAGACGTCCCGTGATCATCGCTGTCGAAAAGGATATCTATGATTTTATCGTTAAAAAGGCATCACTGTACACTGGGCGCTGCCATCTTCTCCAAGCAGGCAGCGACCGAGCGGGAAAGACAACACACAAAAGAACAAGCATGCGGAACTGCGAGATGGCGACCCACGGGTTTTCAAACTATGAGAAATTCCTAAGCATGTGGATCCATCACGCACGTCCCTCTCTCGGGCACCGGTGAAAACCAATCGCCTGTACGGTGACCATTTTTGCGATGGGGAATATGAAAGGCAACCCACTGTCCTCGGGAGTCTGGGTCTTTCTACCAAGAATATTTGGTCGCTACCAGGGGTTGTGCCGTTTATATTGTTTCCAAGAAAAGCAAAGCAGAAGAGCTCAGCGAACCGCACGAAAAGCGAAGCACACTTGAAAGTGAGCGTGCTGTTAAAGGGATATTGAACCAAGGAATTTAGTGTCCATAATAAGTGGCGCATGTTCTTTCCACGAGCCAGCAGCCGCCGATGTGCGCGAGCACACGCATCAAAAATGACGTCAAAGGCCTCCATTCGCGGTTGAGATGACAGTGAAATGTATGGGCTTCGGGCAAAAGGAGAATAAAGACACGTTTTTCTTCTACACAGTGATGTCTGGCGTAAAAGGTAAGCGATTAATTGGTCTAACAAGCACGTAGCTTTCACTTGTAGAGATGAAAAGCCTGGCTTTATTCTCCTTTGGCCCGAAGGCCATGCATTTCACTGTCCACTTAAGCGCGAATGGAGGTCTTTGACGTCATTATCGCTGCGTGTGCTCGCGCACACTGGCGGCTGCTGGCTCGTGGAAAGAACGGGCGCCACTTATTACGGGCACTAAATTCTTTGGTTTAGTATCCCTTTAATACAACACCGAATAGCCCATACCTCTTGCGAGGCATTTCTTGGCGACCCCGACCCCGTTCAAATTTTTTCGGGTGGACGGTCGGTCAGTCAGATGGTTTGTACGGTTCTAGCCCGAATTGCCTGTCTGTCACCACGTGCGAAAGTGGCTACCGTAGAATACCGCGTATCTGCCCATTCCACATTAAGCGCCCTTATCCAAATTTCTAAGATATGAAAAAATATGCACAGCACATTTGTATGTAAAATTGATGACCAGACAAGTGCCCATCCCCCATTTTTTCGCGATTATCTCTAAATTTTGAGTGGGCGCTTGCCCGGTATTTTACGGTACTCTTCCTCGTTGACGTCTTCCCAAGTCCCCTTGGTAGCTGCAATCCTCGTCCTCGAGTTCATAGATCATGGTGAAACGCACTGGACTACTGGGGCCGAAATGAATATGTCACAAGGTGCAGTTGAGCAGTCCTCCCCACTCCAAAACGCACGATTGTAACGCGCAAAAGCCACTGTATGGCGGCGCTCATAATCGCGCCAGCCTTTGGCTGTGCTGAGGAACCTGACGTCACGATCGCGACAGAGTTCCCGTGACGTATCGCACGCCTCAGTGGCCGATTCCAAAGCGCTCCCTAGAGTCCGACACTTGAAACGAAAAATATCGCCATCCGCTCAACGTGCAATTGTCATTTATGGATATCATAGGTCATATTTTACCCAGTTTGGAAAGGTTTCCGTATATTTTTTCGTTTCTGTACCCCTTTAAGCCAATCCGTAAGGCCGGTCGATCGGTCTTTTCTCACACTTGCTGGTAGATTGCAGTTCCACGCTAGATTTAGTCAGTAGAGAAGTGCCTCTTTGAGTTGAGAGTGCACTGTCGCATCGCTTTTCCGAGCATCTTTGGATCTGATGCGAATTTGCTCGCGCTTTCTCTCGAAGTTTGCTCTTGGCTTTCGTGATGGTCGTGAGTGGACTTAGGTGATGCCACATTGACCTTTTTGGTTGCTCGACTGGACTTCGTCGACGACCGCCGGTTCCTCCTTTGCACACTTACTACTTGCCTCGCAAAGACACTTTGAAGATAAGGCACTTAGGCCTAGGGCTGTTGTAGTGACCGACCGCGTGAGAACATTGGTGCGCTGCTGCCATATTGTTACGTAAACGTCGCTGCTACGTCTTTTTTCAAGGAGTCATCGAATGTCTGAGCCGCCAATATTCATCCAAGGTTCATCAGCAGTTCAATGAATATTCGTTTGACTGCTGGGGACCACAGAAGCTGTTTTCTACCGGTAAAAATTTGGTACGCGAAAACAAAAAGTAGGATTTAATTGAAAACACGGTTTGCATCGTTGGAAGTGCATTAAAAACCGCGGAATGGCCGAAATTGTAAAATGTGTTTGAATCGACGGGTAGTAAGGAATGTTCTAGTTAGAATGAGCCTTTGCCTGATGGAGCGGGCGTGTGTTGTGCGCAGGGAGTGACCATCCCGAGCCAGCGGCGCTACGTGGAGTATTACTCGGAACTAGTCAGGACCCGGGCACAGTACAACCCCCAGACGCTGGTCCTCAACAGCCTTGAGCTGGAGCCTGCACCCACCTTCAACGGGGGAACCTGCAGTGAGTGCACTTGGAGAATTTGGGACTGTACTTGGTGTACAATAGAAGTGCTAAGTAGTTTTTTAGACCATTGGGCGTGTGGGCAGACTTGTACACGTTACTGAAAAAAAGTAAGGAATTACATTTACAATTACTCGAGGCTAAATTGTAACTTATTACAATTACAATTACCCTCCCATGAAAGTAACTGACCGTTACCCCAAAAAGTAATCCGTTACCTTTGTGGCGTTACTTTCAACATTATTGTCCTTAAGTAAGAAACAAAGGGAAGGGGGTTATTCAAGTTCTTATTGTTGCAACCTGTTCCATTTAATGCCCCTGAATATTTTGAGCAACAGCTGGCTCTCGAAAGTCTCGCCAGACATTTTGGATTATTTCTTGCTCAGTACGTCGACTGCTACGCTGAACACCCACTGAACTGAGGCACTGGATGGGACTGCCATATTGTTCCTCACGAATGCTTTATGCTCGGCATTGAGCTTCTTTAGCGAAGCAATGGAAGTACTATTTACCTCGAAGATAGAACAAAGCTTCGTCGTTGCAGCTGTTGCTTGATATAAGAGAGTTTTAGTAGATTGTTCCGATTCCTCCGATGCCCCCGATAAGGATATGATTAGGGCTCCGTGTTTTCGGATGAATCCGAAAAACTCCGAAAAACACCCGCCGGTAAAATTTTTGGCAATTCGGATATATCCAATAAACTCCGAATTGTTATGTGCCAATGCCACCCCCCCCCCCCCCCCCCAAACAACAAAAAAAAAAAAAAAAAGAAAAAAGTTTTACATTTTTGGGAGCGCAGGCTCAATGGTCCTGGGAAAATGACACCATAATTATCTTTCAAGCCTCGGACCGTCGTCAAAAGGGGGTCTTACGGCTTGTCTCGTCATGGTTGGTTCAGGGAAACAGGTCATTGTATTATTCGTGTCACGACAAAAGACACTTTTTTAATTGCCAGTTTGGGCCATAAGATTTGGCATTTAGAGAAAGAAGAAGGTATGTTTCTGGGGGTAACGGTGAAAGCTATGGACCATAGAGATTTTATCAAATAGGGAAGAGGGGCAGTTGAAACTTCTCTATTACATCCACTTCGCGCGGCAGTGGGTTCGATTGATGGGATGACTACGAGCTTCCTTGCGGCTATCTCCGGCAGTTTATTGATTTTAAGGTATCGATGTTTATCGAAGCCACACTTTTGTGCGACTTTTGTCGTGGGACAAATTAGTATTGCCAATGACACCAGCGTCAAATTCCACTGAAGAAATCTTAATTGATACAAGCGCGTTTTGTTTTTTTATCTAGCGTACGTTTGCATTCGGTTATTATTTATTATTTTTAATGGGAAACACCGCAAAATTAATCTCAGAATTTCGGAGAATCGGGGATTTATGAAAAATAAACTCCCATAAACACCGAATTTGTGCTAAAAAATAAACTCCGAAAAACACCCTCCGAATTTCACGAAAAATAAACTCCGAAAACACGGAGCCCTAGATATGATGCATGCGCAAAGGCGGCGGCGGGGTATCGGGTATCGTTATCGGAGTCATCGAACCGATCTACTAAAATTCTCCATTGTCTAAATCGCGAAGCTGTGCAAGTCATCATACATCTAGCCAAAACTAGAATAAGAACTGATTTATGTCCATCTTACTATACCTCCATATATTGCCCGACAATAGCAAAATATAGTTGTAACAGTAAGGTGATAATTAAATAATAAATAAGGTTTGGCTCGATATTCTTCTTCTTTTGGTTCTGAAAAGGTCGAGCCTCGGTTGAGACGTTGGTGAATAAAAACAAAGCTTCCAGTATATAAATATGAGTACTAAAAAAAAAACACCCGTAACAACAATTAATTAGAGCGTCGGTTAAAACAAGGAGATGTAAACGCACGTTTGCCGTGTGTACCTCTCTTGATGCCGTTCAAAAACGCGTGGAGCACGAACCGACTGCAGTTTACTGCGGTGTTCTCCAGATAGACGTCCGCTGATGCCACGGGCAGCGAAGGGCAGAGTACTAAGTAAGCCGCGCTATGGAGCTACTCACGAGTTTCACTCACTCCTCAAGCACCGAATATCAAGTCTACGTCAGCCACAATTATGTTTTACTTATAAAAGTATCTGCTTGAGATGAGATGCGTCCTGCTGGGGCAAAACAGGAAAAAGAAGAAAGGAAGACTATTACCATTTTCCAAGTGCTTGCAAAAAGCTGACTCATAAAAAGGGTGACTGAGATGCAGATAACCTGGCTGGAATTCACAAAGAAAGGGGGCCAACCCTAGAAGTTGGACTATGAAAATGTAAGTAGCTTTTAAGACAGGGTCAAATAATGTGAAAGATGCAGAAAAAAATACATCCTGTTTTCTAAGAGAAGATGATAATTGTGCAGCAGCGAACGAGGATGCTTGTGGCAATGACACCTTTACATATTATCACACCTCTTTTATAGTGGGTTTTAGGGCAGACGGAGCGTTGTCTCGTGTTGTGACATTATGAAAATGGTCCTAGTCACTATAACCGAGAAGGACATTGTTAATTCTTTTCTGTGCACTTACCACCTCCAGCTTCTCGAAGAGGCACACAATCACTCGGTGTCCTCCTCTCCTCGTCTTCGATCGCAAAGAAAAAACAAAGGGACCAAAAAAAAAAAAGCGGATATAACTTGCCCCCCCTCCCCCCCCCCCCCTTTTTTTTTTATAAATGTTTATTTGGATTTTTTGACATTGTTGTTAGGGTCTAAAAAAATAGATTCAGGCACTTGGTGTTGCAAAAAAAAAAAAAAAAAAAAAAAAAGGCTTTGCGGAACTGAAGAGGGTCAAGCCTCCCTTTGCGCTGGTCACTGTGCTCGACTTTACCAAAATAGAAACAACCCTCTCTTTTGAAAGGGGGGTGGGGGGGCAAGTTATATCCGCTTTTTTTTGGTTTCTTTGTTTTTTCTTTGCGATCAAAGACGGGGAGAGGAGGACATCGAGTGATTGGTCGGTCCTGAAAAAAAAAATGTAACGGATTACAAGGAATCCATTAAAAAAAATGTAACGGAGTTACTTTAAAATTACTCTAGAAAATATGTAATTATTCCGTTACTAAATTACCGATAAATGTAAAGGATTACAAATAATTTCGTTACTTGTAACGGATTACGTACAAGTCTGCGTGTGGGTGCCTCAACTGCCCTTTGGCAGCGTTGCGGGCATGCCTGGACCATGCTTGGCTAGATGGGTGCCTGAAGGAGCCCCTTGCTCGCAGCGCCCTTCTTCATGCTGTGGTCGGCGGGGGCCAAGATGAGCAAGCTGTACTCGTCCCCCGTGATAGACGTGCGCAAAGGCTTCTCGGGCCCCCTGCACTTCAGCATGTCCTGCCCCATCCCCCTTCATGGGGACATCAAGGTGGAGGTGTACAACAAGCCCAAGATGATGAAGAAGGTGGGTGGGCCTCTGCTCACAAAGAGGCTTCTTTGTTTTGCTCCTTTATTTTGTTCTTCTCGCTTCCCCGCGAAAAATATACCGCAGTTACCATAGCGGCCGTCCGGCGCATCGAACGACGGGAGGCAAGTCGTGGTGAGTGAGGGGGGGTACTGCTCGTGCAAGCAGCTTCTATGAGCAGTTGCGTAAGTGAGCTAATCTAATAACGTTGCTGCGACCTCAGAAGGTCTGATGCCTTGGGTTGGCAAGTAAACAATGAATGTGACATAAAGGCAATCCTATAGAGATCCCTAGCTATCCCCAGTTGAGTGAATTTACAAATCTTGCTATACGCAAATATTCTTTCTTTAATCTCAAATTTGAAAAAAAAAAAAAATGAAAAAAAAAATTGTGCAATGAATGCAGGTTGTTGGCACATGTCTAACATTAACTCTTGCATAACAGTCAGTTTAATTTTGAGAATTTTACTGCAATGTAGATACATAACCAACATTCAGAAAGTTTCCATTTTTTTTTAAAATGTGCTAGGCACGTGCATGCACCATCCCGCTTTGAATTGCAATTTTTATGCTTTTCCAAGTGTTGATCGCGGCGGGTTACCCCGTTGAGTGCGCTTCATACCGAGCACCGGTGCACTGTGGAGAGGCAACACATGCAGAGCTCGTTTCGGTGGGTGTTGCTTTTTTGTAGTGCACTGTTGCTCGGTAAGAAGCACACTCAGCGCAGCTAACCTGCCACGATCAACACCTTGAAAAATATGAATAGTGCTCTTCTTGTCGAAGCGAATATTGAATAGTGTATTATTCGAAACTACTATTAGGAATTTTAAATATTCGCGCAAGCCTACTTATAAGTTCTCGAAAAAGAGAATGCGAGTGTCGGTGTCGGTTGCGGCATTCCAACTCCTGGCCGGCGGAGCTTCTGTGGACTGTCGAGCCGTAGCTGGAGCGGAACGGGTGTCTGCACGTACAGCATTGCTGCAGCGACACCAGCAGGATCACGGCCAGCGACAGTTTGACAATTTTATGACTTGATCGGGTCGAAATGGAGGGATCACATTCTGGACACACCAGTCGGAGAAGCGTTCCAGGCTGCATAGTACAGTGGAGCCCGGTTATATAGCACTCTGCTATTTGGAATGATTGTTTATATCAAACAGACCAAACGTCTCCTTGAAAATCACATGTAATCAGTGTGTCGAACCGAAATAAATACGGGTTTGGTTACGGTTTAGGTTCAGGTAAATTAATTTTGTTCCGGTTCGATTAATTCGATCCGCGAACCGGTTCGGGGCGCTGAACCGGTTCACGAACCGGTTCGGAAATTATAAATGACAAATTGCAACATCAAAATAAATTACAAATAAAACATCTGAAATCAGCACATACGAAACGGGATACATCGTAGTGTAAGGCTCAGGGATTTCTACCAGGAATGGTTTCTTTATGTGCACTCAAAGGTTACCTCACCGACGTTTACGCATTCGGACTTCGTCTAATTGGGTCCGACGCAGTAGCTGTAAAATCCGCGACCTCCTTACAAACCCACTTACATTGTAGAACTCGCTAACTATCCGCCACCTTGGCGTGTAAGCAATTGAAGGAACAGTGGGGAGAAAATACAGCTTTCTTTATTTGAACTAGCCTTCGGTAACTCAAATTAGACCCTTAAAGAAGTTTTCATTAAACAAGATACGGAATAGGAAAAACACTTGACCGAACGCAACGCGAGAAGGACGTAATAGGATAAATATTAAAATAGAAGAGTTCGCTGTCTCACAAATATGTTAGCTTCTAAGTGCCTATACGAAACCGGATGCATTATTATCAAACTCCCACAGCCTTTTCTTTTCTCATTCCGATGGAAGCAAGCTTCAAGAACTCGCGCGTTCTAGAAACGTGTTATGAAATGAGCACACAGCAGCATTTAGGATTTACGAGATTGTAAGAAAATGAAATCCCGTGACGCAATTTTTTTTTTTTTGCGCAGCCTTTCAATTCTTTTTTTTTTCGTGCAAGCCGCGACCAGCGCAATACTGGTTCCTATGTCAAGATTCATGGATGCAGCGTTTGTCAAGATTCATGGATGCAGCGTTTATATTCCTAAGACTGAGTGGAGAAGAAAAATATGTAAGCGAGGGTGTGTGTCAGTTGACGGCACTTAAAAAACAAATGGCATTGATAGCACATTCATTGTCAACAGCGCGTGGCCGAACCGTTTTGACATGAGCCGGTAACCGTTATTTTTTTTCCGGTTCAGTTCCGGTTCGGGTTCATCGCAATAACAATATAACGGTTCGGGTTCGGGTTCAGTTCCGGAAAAAATACCAGTTCGGTTCCGGTTTTCGGTTCGGTTCCGGTTCAACACCCTGCATGTAATAGTAAAGGAGCGTTGTGTTTTTGTATCCAACTCCCATGGCGGGGACACTCCATATAGTGAACGAAGCCGGACCGCCCGTTGCTTTTCCCACAATCCAATTTCACCGGTGGCGAGCACATTGCTTGTGTTGCGTGGCTAGCAGACCGCCAAGCCAACGTACACGCAAGACGATACGCAGCGAAAGAGCAGTTGTAGAAAAGAAGAGACAATGAACCATAAAAAAAAAAGAAAAAGAAAAAAGTGGAGGATGGCAAAAGCAAGGGGAAGGGCAAGCTCACGCGCGTGTAGGGAGAGCAGGGAGTGCCCGCTGCCGGAACGGTATTGCGCCCTTATCCCTAACACTGCTGTGCGACTCCAAAAAAGGCTGACAACAACGGTTGTGCAATCGCACTTTGAACGCCTTTGTTTACCCTTTTCTTTTGCAATTATTGCTTTGCCCGTTTTTTTTTTTGCCTTTCTTTTTTTGTTGTTTGGATTTCGTGAGCTTTTTTTTTTGTTGCTTGCTTAACTTTTTCCTATGGATCAAGAGATTTCTTTTTTGCGTCTCCTTTTTCCGTTTTTCTTGCATTTTTTTTTGCGTTTTGCTACTTACGCTGTGTGGGTTGGCCAGGCGCGCATGCTCGGCCAGGCGCGCCTGTGAGCATGGCGGTTTCCGGGTGTTTGCGATCTCCACCAACTATGCTCGACTCTCTTTAGCGACTCTTGGATGCTTTATTTGGTAAGCTCCCGTTTGTCGCGACCTTCGGTATTAGCAGAGGCCAGGAAATTTCAACTCAAACTTAATTTAACGTATTTTCGTATATCAAATCACTGATATATCAATCTATTTTATGATCCCCTTTGAATTCGTTATATCCGGGTTCGACTGTAATATGTAGCGTAGCCCAAAACACTAAGGCTCATTGCCGTCCGCGTCTGTCTAACCGAAACCGGACTCTGCCCCCTGCAGGAAAAGATGTTCCAGTTCTGGTTCAACACGTTCTTCGTGCCTCCCTGTGGCGGGCAGGGCGACGTCCCTCACTCCAACGGGGTCGCCGGAGGGGCCGAACTCAGGCAAGTGCCTGTCGCTCTCGCGTTGGAAACTTTGCCTTCCCGCCGTGACATGGTAGATGGTAAGGAGTCGAGAGGTACCACAAACTCGATTTTGTTTTATATTTTTCTGTAGACACGAGTGCACATGACTAAGAGGTGGTTTTCTGTTTTTCATTTTAGAAGTGACAAACTCTCGCAGCTGTTTGGGAAAATTCCGAAAATAATTGCGCTGCCCCTTTAAGTATGAAATTATGAGTTAGAAAAGTTTTACTCTTTTTGTTGAGCCCCCATCCTAATGCAGGAGTGTCTTTGCCTCGGGGTAAGGAATGTTATAACTCGGCCTGCTTTTCATTACATTGTTCTCGACCACAGGTGATAAAAGCTCGTTCGTTAGGGAAGCACTATCGCATCTAGGTTAGCCGCTTTACCTTTTATACATTGCAATAAATAAACAATTTTTGCACTAATCATACTGCTCAACGAACACATTTTGCCTGATAGCAACATTAGATTTTTGACGGCACATCGAGGTTGCTCGCTGGGCACAACCTCCCTAGGTGCCGTGTAAATGTCGCGAAAGAGGCATCGTGGTTATAAATGTATGATTACAGAAATTCGCAATGATGTAAGTACTCTTAGATTTTCATAATGAACGCGTAGCAGGCATCAGACCTTGTGCGGATTAGATTTTTGTCGACAAAATTTCTCATTTATGCACACCTGTTGGGGAGCGAGATTTTTTTCAATTTTTTTGCGATTTGGATTGAGTATTAGTCATTGCCTTTAAACGCCTAGGTCTGTACAAAGCCGATACAGCGTAATTGTATTGCAACTGCGTTAATTTTTCTCCGGAGCAGATGCGCCGTGTTTGCATGATTTTCAGTTTTCTTTTCGTTTTATCTGAATGGAAGATGATAATGGAGTTGTGCCTGGTCATTCTCTTTATTGAGTGTGTTTCACTTTAACTCGCGCACTTAAGTACTCGTATCTGCGCCCGAAACGATGGACCTCCCGGTGCAAGGACTGGCAGCGCAACAAATGGGAAGTTGGTACACGTGGCCCGGTGAGAGTTTGGCGGGACCAGCGTTTGGGAATGGCCGGGAGAATGGGTTTTGCGAGGGATTGGCGAGGCCGCTGCTTACGGTGCTGTCTGTGTGGCAGGGTGCACAATGGGGACGAGGAGAGGCACAAGCTGGTCTTGTACAAGGAGGACCTGGACAAGGCCTACAAGGACACCCAGCACAGCAAGTTCAGCAGAGACTTCAAGGTGGGCATCAGCCAAGACATCCTCTCCCTTTTCGCTCACCACAGTCAGCTCACAAAGCTTTTGTTTTTCGGCATGAAATGTCTATCGCTCATCCATCTTTATTCTTTCTTTAAAAATTTGTGAGTAGTTTCAGAAGAATACTTTCATTACACGTGGGATTATCGAAGGGTTCCCAGAAAAATGTTCTTGCTACAGATGCGCGTAAACAAACATAATTTAGAAAGTGAAATAGTACCGGTAATAATCCGTGCCATCGTCGCGTGCGAGAAAAATAATTTGCCATTTCACCGCTTAATTACGTTATTTTCCAAGTTTAGGAGAACATTTTGTAGGGTGATACATTGATTGCGATGACGATCTACTGCGGACAAACAACGAAAAGAGCCGGACGTTTCTTTGCGATCGTATCTTGTTCAAAAAGGAAACGTGCGAGCAGTGAGCTGTCGATAGGAACTTTACCACCGATTATCATGGAGCGGTATTTCGCTATATTAACGAGAAATAGAAGGCGGGCCTACGCGCTCGGAGTGAGCGCATGACTATCCGTGTGCAAATCGCGAGGGTTGGGTCCGCGGTTCATCGTTACACTTAGGGAAAGGATGCTCGTGTATTTTCTAAGAGTGTGAAGCTTAATTGGGGTGTCATGCTGTGACTTTACATTCACCAGTCTTTTCTACTTGTAGAGTACTTTAATTTGGTATAATTTACTCAAAAAGTAAGGCTAACTTTTGGTAGTGACTAGAGAGCAGGGACGCGGCCCACAAACTTGCTGCGGCTGCGAGCCCACATTCCCATGCCTCGAGGAGCGCTACGTGCACCATAAATCATAGCTTTAAATCGTCGATTTGTTATTTCCGCTCAAGAAGTGACATGCTCATGTTATGTGCACACATTTTGCACTACTCTGTTTTCTTTTGGACTGAGCATTGCTTCGTCTAAATATTTGATTCTGAGCCCCTTGGGTAAATCAACCAGGACAGCAATAGTACGACAACACCGTCAACACTACTAGTGGAAGCTCTTTGCTCAAGAGTGTACCTCGGCTGCAGAGACTCATTGGGAGCAACTGCCGAAGATGAAGCCATGAGCTCGGGCTTCTAGCTGTCGGACAACACCTTGGAATTACGAGTATTTTCTTATTTTGCTGCTGTAAAAATCATCAGGAAAGCAAAAACTGTCGTACGAAGGAATATTTTTTTATGCTTGTTGAGGCCCAGTGATTTGTGTAACGGCGCAAGGATGGTGTGCTTGTTCTATTGAAAACTGCCAGTATGTTGGTGTTTTAACCCTTTCATGGTCACTGACAAACCCGTACGTCAGCGCAGGTGCGTCCCGCATGGTTGCTGACGTACATTTACGTTCGCGACTGCTCATTCGAAAATTCCCGCCTCTGCATGAACGGCCGCGCTCGCGGGGACGTGCTGCCATCTCATAGGGTTGTAGGGAACTACGATCACATATCTCCTGTCGTGTTTGTTTTGGAGGGGCTTTCGAAATTGCGAAACTGGACGCTCTGTGCAAGCGATAACTTTCGAGATGGCTGCACGTGCTAGCTGCTCCGGAGGTAGCAGAGATTGGAGCAATGGCTCTTCGGATTCAGATTTTGAACCCTTCTCGGACTCTGAGTCGGACGACAGCTCGACATCCGACGAAAAACTGCAAACCAGCTTGGAATCGGAATCCGACACGGCCGCACCGTCTGCTGGACCGTCTGGGAAGCGGGTGTGTCAAAGCGAAACCGACTGGAAAAAAGGTGAAGACTTCTCCCCATCTATATTTCCATTTGATGGTTCGCAATCCGGACAGCCTGCAGGCACTCTACTCCAGCCAGATGCGAAAGAAGCAGATTATTTCAAACTACTTCGACGAGGGAGTTGTGTCTTTGATTGCAGATGAGACAAATCCCTACGCGCACCAGCTGATCGCACAGCCCGACCTCGCACGGAAATCGCGACTGAAAGCATGGGTAGACTTTGGTCTCGCTGAGATCTACTGCTTTCTGGCAGCTGTTCTGCTGATGGGGCTCGTCCGAAAAGATGCTGTGAGGGATTACTGGACCACCGACCCAATGACTGAGATTCCCTTTCTTTCGAGGCTTTTCTCAGTAAATCGCTTCTGCCTTTTGCTGAGAGTGCTTCATTTCAGTGCCAGCACTGAAGCAGCAGATCGACTAAGAAAAATGAGGCCACTCATGGAGACACTTCAGGCAAAATTGGCGAGTCTCCTGGTCCCGTACCAAGATCTCTGTATCGATGAGTCGATGATGCCCTGGAGAGGACGTCTTTCATTTCGCCAGTACCACCCTTCAAAAAGGCACCGTTTTGGAGTGAAGACGTTTGTTCTGTGCGACGTGATGACCAGGTACATCTTGAGGTTCATCGTGTATACAGGGGCTTCCACGACAATGACGATGATGCAGGAGTTGGGATTTTCGGGCTCAGTTGTCCTCGAGTTGCTCAACCACTATCTCGGAAAGGGGCATTCTCTTTTCGTAGACAACTGGTACACCAGTCCGGCGCTTTTCCAATATCTTCGAGGGAAGCAAACCAATGCTTGCGGAACAGTTCGACGGAACAGAAAGGGACTTCCCAAGTTCAAAAAAAAGATGACAAGGGGAGAAGTAGAGTCATTTCATGCCGATACACTTCTGGCACTGAAGTGGTGTGACAAAAGGGAAGTGCATATGTTGACCTCAATGCATGGAGCTCATCTTGAGGACACTGGCAAGGTGGACAGAAGAACAGGCACTCCACAGAAAAAGCCAGCATGCGTACTCGAGTACAGCCAGAAGATGGGACTTGTGGACAAAGTAGACATGCAGCTGAACTTCGCTGAAAGCATCAGGAAGATGCTGAAGTGGTACAAGAAGTTTTTTTTTCACCTTCTGGACATGTCTTTGTTGAATGCATTCCTTCTTCACCATGAAAGGAGTGCCTCCAAGATCACGTTCGCCGAGTTCAGAAGAAGAGTCGTATACCAGCTCGTTGAGGAGCATCATACCGAGAGGCGGAAGAGTGGAAGGCCCAGCGTAGACAACCCAACGAGGCTGACAGCCCGACAGTTCCTCGAAAGGGTGCCACAAACATCGGCGAAAGGCAGCCGCACTCAACGAAGGTGCCACGTGTGTGCCAACAGAGCTCTCAGACCGAAGCAAAGAGAGGACACAAGGTTCATGTGCGCCGCCTGTGACAAGGGCCGGTGTGTGGAACCCTGCTTCAAGGACTACCACACTCTGAAGAAGTACTAGAAAGTGAACAATTCGAAATATTTAGTCATTTTTGTTTTGTTCTACCTCGAGCGAGCATGCTGCAGATCTTTTGAAGTGTGTGTTACTATTTATTTTAAGTCTTACATTTTTTTTACGCTACAATAAACTTGCGAATTCTCTTTTCTATCACATTGAGTAAAAAAACCCGGCCTCGGGGGTGCGCCCTTGGAAAAAAAATGTGATCATGAAAGGGTTAAATCTTGTTATAACATCAGGTCCAGAGCAGTCTTATATGCAAATGAAAGCTAAGCATGATAAAACGGTGAGCTTACAAAGTGCGGAGGGCACAAGGTCCCATCTTTAGAAAATCACTGGGGCGTCGAGGTACACTCGGCTGCTTTGCAATGTAAAGATCACTGCTGCTTTTTTTTCCTTTTTGTCCCAAAGTGCCAAAATATTTCTTCCCCTCCTCCCTCGTTGGCCCTGGACGTTTTGGGAGTGGGCTATCTGGTCCCTATACTCGAATGCTATAGAGGAATGTTACCTGGGGGAATAACATCGTGAAATTGGGTCAAGGGGACAAATTGGAGTGGTTATTATGTGACATAAAAAGAGGTCAGGTGGCAGCTTTCTGGGCTTTCCAGGCGTGCCTCAGGTGGGTCCTACAAAAATGACACTTGAGAATTTGAAACCTTGAGCCTGCCTAGGCATTGAACACTAAAGAAGATGGCAGACAAGGTAGCCCCTGCTGAGAAGTTGCGCAGCGTCCCTTGCAGGAGTTCAGGCACGTCCATTGTGGTACCCGAAAGAATAATATGTCAGAATTCAATGCCCTGGGCACGAGCCTTGAGTATGGCATTGAGGTCTTCAGCACGAAGTATATGAATAAAAACACGGAAGGTAGCATGCACCAGGGAGACATTTATTGTTCCTGTCTAGGGGAGTTTTCCATTTCTCGGGTTGAGATTGATGCGAGAAAATACTCGGAGCTGCTCGGGGCTTGAGCTTCTCCGAGCCTTTTGCGAGCAGTGCTGCCTCGAATTGATACTTTGTCAAGTGAACCAGTAAGTTTTGCTTAGTTAATGAATGTGTAGTTGATCTGCTTGCTTGGTTGCTGCGTGTTGCCGCTCCATGGATTGGTTGCACAAGCGACATCTTTGGTAATGTTAAGTACTCGATAGATTTGTTGAATGAGCACACATACCATTTTTGTTGCAACTGGTTTCTAAAGTATGCACACATGATGGGAGAAAATGCCATCCGTGAGCTAAGGGACACTGACAGGGTATTTAGGCTCGCCAAGGATTTTATTTGTACAGTAAAACCTCGTTAATTCGGATCTCGTGGGACTTTCAAAAATGTCAGAATTATCCGAAAGTCGAAATATTGAAAGGACAAAGAAAACAGTGCGAAAACGTTTCCCTGTGACATACCTTTATTTTGAGAAGAAATCTGTTATTACCGCCTGCTTTCTGGACGATGCTTGGGCAAAGACGGCAACTTTCCTTAGCGCGGTCGAGTGCTCCACCGCACTCGCACTGTCGGAGCTACGCATCCCGTGCGCGGACAATATAGCACAGCAAGGCCTCTTCTAGGTTCGGGTGCACCACCTTCCAAAGCCGCATTCTTTTCGCGTTGAACTTCTCGCTCTCGAAAGCCCGTAGGATATCGGCCTCAATTTTCACGTACGTGGCCAAACTGCTTCTCTTGATGTCGTAACTTTCCGTCACTTGTCGAGAGAGGCCGTCCTTCAAGGCCTTCAGTATTTCCACTTTCGTCGCTAAATTCTTCG